TATATATATATATATATATATATATATATATATATATATATATATATATATAAAGAATATGCATCATGAAATTATTTTCATGACCATGCCCATTCCCCCCTAAAGTCTCATTTACTTTAACGTATTCTAATTTACTTTCCATTATTCTCAATGGTGATTCCCATTAGATTTGTACCACTATTATACAGTAAACAAATACTGTAATACAGCAACTGTACTTTTGATTTAAATAATTTAATTCTGCATTACAGTAATGAGAGTTGAGAGGGAAACTAGCAAAAAAATATGACCTGGACATTATTTTGAAGAAATTCACCCAAGCATATATGATCATCTTCCGAGGATTCCTAATCTTTCCCATCATCTTCCTGTTTACTCTTTAAATTAGACGACAAGGGCAGTTGGGATGAACATGCTGCCATATCACATCCAAACTCCTAATTACTGTGCTTGTGCGGGAAAATGAAGAAAAATAGCCCTCTGAAAGGAACCCGAGTACTAATGCTGCCTCTCACAACAGAAATAAACACACAAATGTCTCCCCACACTGCACTTGTTGGTCAGCAGGGGGCATCCTTATCTTCACTTTGTGGTGTAGTATTTGAAAACGGAAGCACCTTCTAAACCTTCACACACACATCAGTTTCTCTCATACATACAGGTAGATCCCTCCTAGAGGCCATGGAATTACTCATCTAAACTTTGTCCCGAACAGAATAAGTATTAGAACAACAACTATGACAAAGAGAATTAAAATGACCAGCATCTTGCGGTTTTTCTTCTGGTACTGTTCAGCCTAAGAAAGGAAAGAGAAAAGTTGAGTGTGCTTTCCATCTCTACTATGTAATATTATTTTTTAAATATCATGTGGATACTGTATGTACATTTATAATACACAACAAATGACTGAAAAAGTAAGGGTAAGCAATTATATCCCTTGACATGATGCTTAACACATCATCAGGCTTGATAAGAGCCTCACCTTCTGCAACTGCTGCAGACCCTCCTCTGTTTTGACACAAGCTTGCTCCACATTGAAGTCGATTCTGTCGAGGACTGTGCCCTGAATAAAATTGACATTAACAATGCACATTTAAAAAAAATATATTTTGCATATATATGCAACTGCCTCAGTCAAAGAAGCATAATACGGTATTCATTTTGTGTTTGAACCTAATTTATTTATAATTCTTATTTTTATTCTTCATTTTTATTTATTAATTCTTATATAATTGA